AACATTAGGTCAACAGAATGAGTTGATCTGATAGCAATCTAATAGCAATCCTTAGGGCCCTTGATTAAGAGTAAATTAAATTCATGAGAACATGGCTTCTGCCAGGGGCCTTTGTGCTTTGTCATTTGCTCAGCAGTCCTCACCTAGAAGAAATGAGGAGACTGTGTCCATTTTTCTAAATTACCTATTTTCAAATAAAATATTTATTTTAGTGACTCTATATAATGGCACTGTGTGTGGTGAGGAGGGTCCAAGGAGGACTTTCCAGATTCCTTCCCATCTGATACTGAATCATTACAGCTAAGTATAAAGTTAATATAGATTTCTGCTAAATGAGAGGCATCTGTATAATATTCACACACTAGCTACTATCACACATTGTCATCTATGAGATATTTATCTCTTATTAATCTATTTTCAAAGATATCTAATGTAAATTAGCTATAGCCTTTAAAGAGAGAATTTACTTCCTGATTTTTAAAAAAAGGCAAAAAATGGCAAAAATATGATCATTATTAAGAGGCCTTAAAAACAAAGGTATTGATTATATTAATATAATATTAATGTAATTCACTCCTAAATATAGACAGGAAGATAATTATAGCCAGCATTCAGTATATAATGTAAAAAAATGTGTATTTCTCTATAAGTGAGCATTATACTAATAAAATAACTATAAATCTCATTTTCACTTTTATTATGGTTGAAAATCATATTTAATCTGTCTTAAAAGGTAAATCACATCATTAATTTTTCAGAATATTTTTACAATAATATATTCATAAAAATCTTTGGATTTTATTTAATCTGTAAAAGCAAATCTCATAATTAATTTTTCAGAATATTTTTACAATAATATATTCATAAAAATCTTTGGGTTTATATGGATTTAGAAAAATTATCTGTCCCAGGCTTTCATAATTTATTAAATCATATGAAAAGACTTATTTGCTTCATTCATGGAGCTATTCTGTCAATTTTATTACCATCCTACTCAACTTGACTGAAAAAAACTGTTAAATATATTTTTATTTTCAAATGTATTTTAATTAAAAAAAGTTATTATTTTGGAACTTTGTCTTATATGACAATTACTTTATTTTAAAACATCCTTTACTTGTTAATTGTTGCACAATATGCCAAATTCAAAACAACTCCTCTGTCTTTTCTTACCTTCTTTTTTCCTTCTTAGCCCTTCTTTCTTTCATCTCTCCTTCTACAAATATTTATTAAGGGCCTAATATATGCCAAGTACTATATTGAATATTCAGACAAGTGGAAATTATGGAAAAATTATTATACCCAACTTAACAAGAGCTATAATGAGATGTAAAATATACTCCCCAAACACTTGAACATAACATTATCATTACCTGGCATTTGTTTTTTGTAAAAGATCTGTCTCTGCCACAAGATTTTAACACATCTGGAGCTGGAACCCTATCTTGTTCTCATATAAATCATTTCTACCACTCATCTCTCACCACTAAGCACATTGCTTTATGCATAATGGGCCTCCAGTAAATGTTTGGTTAAGCAGAATATGCTTACAATAGTACATACATACAATATGGAGGCTTTCTTTAAAATAATAACTTTAAAAATAATTTCAGATGCTTATTGTGCAGAATTGGAAAATCCAAACAAGTCAAGAATAAAATTCAAATCATCTACATCCTCATTTCCAAGCAATAATAACCATGATGTACACTTCAATGCATTTCTTTCTTTCTGGTCTTTTCCTTTATGTATTTGGGAAGTAACTGTACCTATATATTTACATATAATTTTGAATTCTAATTTTTTCACTTTTTGTATTGTGAACACTTCCCACATAGTAGATAACCCTAAATATTAGTCAGTTTAATGGCTGCCTAATATTTTATCATAAATTTTTATGATTTAAACATTACATGATTATTGGTCAATTACTTATTTACAGCGGTTTGTAATTATGAATAATTGCATGGCCACAGTCAGTGTCCTGGATACATAAATCTTGTTCACTCTCACTGATTATTTTCCTAAGGACTATACTTGAGAAAATAGCCACATATAGAAAAAAATACTTGGCTATTTATCAATTATGTTGTAAATTCCTTTTTGTTCTAGGCTGAAATTTTTTAAAAGATTCAGTCATTATTACTCATTGTTAAAAGAAATACACCTTTCTTTAAGAAAACTAATTTTAATATTTTTTAGACCATTAATACTCAGAAAGGCAAATTATTTTAACAAATAGTTATTTTCCACTACATTTCCTATCATGTCTCACAAATAAGTGGTTGTTAATGCTTTTTTAAGAGGTAAATAAATAGAAGAGATGGAATGGACCAGAATAAAGGGAACAATATAGAAGAACTTAATAAATGAGTTATGTTAGTAACTATTCCTATTGGATTGCATTAGCAAAATTTTAAGTCTTTTTTTCATAGCATTTTAATGATCCTCAAAAGTCATGCAGTGTCACTTCTACCATTGTCTTTTGGGTCAGTTAGTGACAGGCCAGCCTAGACTCAAGAAGATGAAAGAAGAGGCTCTACCTTTCAATGAGGGAAGGGCCTGCATGTACAGGGAGGAAGGAGTGATGGTGTCCATCTTATATACAGGCTGACACAAAGTCCTGAATGCTTTCTTCAAATGCCATCTTTATCTTTACCATATAATTTAAATGTGCCTTTCCTTAACCCACACTTTTTCTTTCTTTCATTCCTTCAATTAAAACTACTTTCTAGATTAACAATGAAAGGAGGAAAGACCTGTGTACTCCTTGCTTCTTTGGACAAATCAGGCTTTACAAACAGATTCAAATTCAAATCTTAGCTGTACCATTCACCAGTAGAATGACTTGGGCAAAAAAATCTTCTCAGAAGAATGGATTCTCTGATACCCACTGCCTACTATAACACCTAACATATAATAAGGTTATTGACTTATTTATTATTTATTGACTAACCAATCTCTGAGATTCCATTATGTCCTCTATGAGATAAGGAGAATAATGTCAACCTCGCAGTGACATAGAAATAAACGAACAAGTTATTGTTTGCAAAATACTTAATACAGGGCCTTAACACAGTAAAGTGAGGATTTGGTAACTATTAGTAATATTATTACAGTTAATATTCTCATCATTATTTATGTTATCAGCATTATAGTTGCTCTTTATATTTGTGTCACCACAGTCTAACAACTTGTTAGACATCTTCTTCATCCCCTCGATCTCATTTATTCACCTCGCCTCATCCTTAGCTACTGTTTTAATGCTTTAAACATTCATATTGATGACAAATCAAACATATTCTTCCATAAGTCCTTGACCTTGTCAACCTTAATCATATTCCCCACTTCACTCCAAATAAACACAAATTCTCACCCAAAAGTACCCTACATTTAAATCACAAACTCTGGAATTTTCTCTTCACAAGTTCAAATTCTTATATCTTCTCATCATGCTTTCCTTGATTCCTTTATTTTATTCTAGCTTATCAGCAACTTTCTGGTTTTGCTTGACTCCCTAGTCAACCCTGACACCATGGCCATTCACACCATTGGCATCTTTGATGATAAGCCAAACCAAATTTAAAAATTCCTAAACCTGAATGGACTCAATTGAAAAAAGTGTTCACTTCTCCTTTCCTAAAAATGTCATTTGCTTCATGAGCCTTTTAAAATTATTTTTCCATCTCCTTATTCCTTCCCTGTTGAAATTCTCTACCCACAGGTCTTTACTAATTGCCTCCATTTCTCCAGTACTCCACCATTTCTTAGCTCCTTATAGTCTAGTCTAGCTCAGCCCCTCCTGATCAGACTTTGTAATCACCAAATCTGACTCAGCAAAGTTAGACTAGAAAGCCAGGACCAGAGCCAGAGAAAGTAGTTAACTCAGTCCATTCAGATTTAAGAATTTATAGATTGGTTTGGTTTGTCACCAAAGATGCAAATGGTATGAATGACAATCAAGGTGGATTAGGGAGTCAGGTGATGCCAGAATGGTGCTGGTAGGACTATTTCAGAAAATAACTTAAAATACTTAAGAGCGTTTTGTGTTTGTTTGTTTTCATTGAAAATAAAAGCATCCTTGCAGCCTGAATTGTCTATACTAGAGAATAGAAGAATGTTAATAAGAAAATTGCCATGCTTTCCAGCCTCTAAAATGTAAACACTCTACATATCTTTAAATGCTATTAGATATCACTATTTTAGGAGTGATAATACAAAGGTATATTTCTCCATCAGATCACAGTTGTTTCTTGAAGCTAGAGTCTATATGCTCATGGATTGATTATCTCTATTCTATACCAATTTTTCATGAGCATAAGGAAAATAATCTCTATTCAGCACTCTCCCACTCCCACCAAAAATCATCACCATTATCATCATCATCATCAAAATCACACCTTCTTTTAATGCCCCACAAAATTTTTCCATGCCTCCCTTCTAGAATATACCCTTCCTTGGCCTGAACTATCATTATTCCAGAGCTCTTCACATTTCCCCTGTTAAAGTTTAAGCTACTTGATAGTCACATCACAGTATTTGCACACTGCAGGTTTCCTGAACATGAAAATTAGGCCCATAAACCTATACCTTTTTAGTAATGATGGGATCTTTTTTTGTTACTGATACCATTGCCTATCACTCTCTTTTGTTGCCTCTGTAAACTCTGGTTGATGTCAACAGTCATAGTTGATATTTAATTCATATTCTTGTGTATGTTTCTAATTATATTTCTCTTTTCCTATAAAATATAATGCTAATTGGTAATTGCCTCCAAGCACAAAATGTTAGGGAAAAAATCAAATCTATAATTAAGTTACCAGCAGAAATCATGGAAACTGCCTTGCATCCCATCTCTTTCTACTGTCAATTTCCACTGGTAAATATATACTTCATTAAGACGGTTAGACAGTTCGATTGTATCTTTATTGGAAATACAATTTCTCATGGCTCCTCATCGTGGCTTGCACTTAACTTTATCCATTCCCTTTTGCCTATAGGTCCCCCAGGCCCACCAGGGGTAGTAATTGTTGAGGAAATCACCGAAAGCACAGCTACACTCTCCTGGAGTCCTGCAGCTGACAACCACAGCCCAATCTCCTCCTACAACCTGCAGGCTCGAAGCCCATTCTCCCTGGGCTGGCAAACAGTAAAAACAAGTAAGAGGCTCTAAGGCAACATTAGAAGCAACCAGAACAGCTTCCTATGTCATGAGCTGTATTTGCTAGCAATCTTAGTGGGATCATTTTGGATTCTGGAAACTTTGTTATTTATTACAATATTAACCATTGTTTGCCTCTTTTTATAAAGCTATCTTGGTTTCTGGGTGCCTGGGTGGCTCAGTTGGTTAAGCATTCCACTCTTGATTTCAGGCTCAGGTCATGATCTCAGGGTCATGAAATAGAGCCCTAGGCAGCTCTGCGTGGGTGTGGATCCTGCTTAAGATTCTCTCTCCTTACTCCACCCCCTCCATGTGTTCACACTTTGTCTCAAAAAAAAAAAAAAAACTATCTTGCTTTCTTCTCTCAATTCCCAAGAAGGGATCACATCATTTATATTTGTTTGTTTATTGAAATAACTTTAAGCTCAATGGGAAGTTGCAAAAATAGTACAAAGATTTCCTGTGCATTCATTCCTCAGCTCTCCCTAAGTATAAAATTTTACATAACAATGGTACAAGTATTAAATCAGAAAATTGACATTGATACAATGCTATTAACTGATCTATAGACTATATTCAGATTTCACCAGTTTTTATATGGAGTTTTTAGTATGTAGTTCCATAACATTTTATGAAATTTTATTGCATAGACTCAAGTAACCACCAAGACAATCAGGTACAGGATTTTTCCATTACTCCAGTTCCTTGTGCTACCTATTTATAGTCACACATCTGTTTATTTATAAAAAGAAGATCTAACATAAGTTATGTCCACTTCTAAGATGTTTGTGTAATAGTTGCACTATTCTTAAAATCATTTTCTTGCCTGATAGTTTGCTTTCCATGTTGTAACCAAACTCCTATCTCTCCAAATGTAGCTGTCTACAGGGAAATGTGAAGTTACAATCACTTGATAGCAATTAGATACTTATTTAACATGTTGGTATTTAAAAGTATATAATTATCTATAAAATATAATCTTCAGAAGCAGTTGTCCATCCTGAGTAAGGATTTGTGATTTTGTTTTACTTTCTATCTAAATATAAAATGGATTTGTTTAGAAGGGAAATATAAAATCAGTAAAATCCAACCAAATAGGTAAGAAAGAAATAAAACTCACTATTTGCAGACAACATGATACTATATAGAGAAAACCTTAAAGACTCCACAAAAAAAAAAAAAAAAACACTAGAACCATAAATTAATTCAGTAAAGTCACAGGACACAAAATTAATATAAAGAAATCTGTTGCATTTTCTGTATTATAGTAATGAAGTAACAGAAAGAGAAATTAAGAAAACAATTCCATTTATGGTTGCACCAAAAATAATAAAATACCTAAGAATAAAGTTATCCAAGGAAGTGAAAGACCTATACTTTGCAAACTATAAAACATTGATGAAAGAAATTAAAGATGACATAAATAAATAAAAAGATATTCTGTGCTCATGGATTGGAAGAACAGATATTGTTAAAATGTCCATAGTATCCAAAGCAATCTATAGACTTCAGGTAATCCCTATCAGAATACCAATAGCATGTTTCACAGAAAAAGGACAAATAATACTAAATTTGTATGGAACAAGAAAAGACCCTGAATAGCCAAAGCAATCTTGAGAAAAAAGAACAAAACTGGAGGTATCACATTCCCAGATTTTAAGATATACTACAAAGTTAAAGTAATCAAAACAGTATGGTACTGACATAAATAGACATAGATCAATCAAACAGAATACAGAGCCCACACATATATAGTCAATTAATCTACATCAAAGGAGGCAAGAATATACAATAGGGAAAAGACAGTCTCTTCAATAAGTGGTGCTGGGAAAACTGGGCAGCTATATACAAAAGAATAAAACTGGACTACTTTCTTACACCATACACATTGGACTACTTTCTTACACCATACACAAAAATAAACTCAAAATAGATTAAAGACCTACATGTGAGACCTGAAACCATAAAATTCCTAAAGGAAAACATAAAGGTCATTTCTTTGAAATTTTTCTAGGTATGTCTTTGAAGGCAAGGGAAACAATAGCAAAATAAGACTATTGGGATTGCAGCAAAATAAAAAAACTTTTGCACAGTGAAGGAAACATTAATAAAACAAAATACAATCTACTAAATGGGAGAAGATATTTATAAATGATATATCTGGGAAGGAGTCAATATCCAAAATATATAAAGAACAACTCAACACACACACAAAAAAAACCCCAAATAATCTGATTTTAAAATGGACAAAGGACTTGAATAGACAGTTTTCCAAAGAAGACACACAGGTGACCAACAGACACACGAAAAGATACTCAATATCACTAATTATTGGGGAAATACAAATCAAAACCACAATGAGATACACACTTGTCAAATGGCTAGTATCAAGAAGACAAGAAATAACAAGTGTTGGCAATGATGTAGAGAAAAATGAAGTTTTTTTTAAAGATTTTATTTATTTATTTGAGAGAGAGAGAATGAGAGATAGAGAGCATGAGAGGGAAGAGGGTCAGAGGGAGAAGCAGACTCCCTGCCGAGCAGCGAGCCCGATGTGGGACTCGATCCCGGGACTCCAGGATCATGACCTGAGCCGAAGGCAGTCCCTTAACCAACTGAGCCACCCAGGCACCCGAAAAAAGAAGTTTTGTGCACTGTCACTAGGAATGCAAATTGGTGCAGCCACTGTGGAAAACAGTATGGAGTTTCCTAAAAAGATTAAAATAGAATTACCATACAAGGGGCACCTGGGTGGCTCAGTTGTTAAGCATCTGCCTTCAGCTCAGGACCTGAGCTGGGATCAAGCCCTGCATCAGACTCCCTGCTCGGCGGGGAGCCTGCTTCTCCCTCTCCTACTCCCCCTGTTTGTGTTCTCTCTCTCGCTGTGTCTCTCTCTGTCAAACAAATAAATAAAATCTTAAAAAAAAAAAGAATTCCCATATTAATGAGTAATTCCACTACTAGGTATCTACCCAAAGGAAAACACTAATTTGAAAACATATATGTACCCCTGTTGTTATTGCAGCATTATTTATAACAGTCAAGATAGGGAAGCAACCGAAGTGTCCATTAAAAATGAGAGGATAAAGAAGGTATGCTACATATACACAATGGGATAAAAAGGCCCTAAGAAAGAATGAGATCTTGCTATTTGCAACAATATGGATGGACTTAGAGGGTAATGCTAAGTGAAGTAAGTTAGTCAGAGAAAGACAAACACCATATGATTTCACTTATATGTGGAATTTAAGAAACAAAACAAACACAAAAAAAGGAGACAAACAAACAAAAAAAACAGACTCTTAAATACTATGAACAAACTGGTGGTTGCCAGAGGAGAAGTAGGTGGGGGGAAGGGTAAAAAGATAAAGGAAATCAAGAGTACACGTATCTTGATGAGCACTAAGTAATGCATAAAATTTGAATCATTATATTGTATACCTGAAACTAATACATCACTGTATATTAATTCAATTTAAAAAAAGAAAGAAAAAAGGAGAGAATGAAAGAAAATATAGACAACTCTTTTAAGAAGTTTTTTTGAAAAATGAAGTGAAGAAATCACATTTTGATATCAGCAATGTTATAATTTGCTTATGGGTTGAAGTGATACAGGGAGAAAAGAAAGGAATCCATGATGACCCCAAGATCTTGGCTACAACACCAATTATCATTCACCCAATAAGGAATAGTTCAGAAATAGGGGGTGGAATTTAAGGTTGAGAACCCTATCCAAATAGAAATGTCTAATAGCCATTGGACAAATGAGTTTGGAGTCTAGGGAGGTGGTTCATGGCTGAAAATATTGGCGTCATGACATACAGAGGGTCTTTAAAGCCATGAGACTAGATAAGATCACCAAAGAGTTAGTAGAACTGGGTGCATCTGGAAGATGAAAAGAAACCAGCAATGGATACTGATAAGGCATAGTGAGGTCAGAGAAAACAGAAGTTTTAAAAATTATTTCAAAGAAGAGAAAATGACTATGTCAAAGAATTATGTTAGGTCAAGAAAGATGAGGAACAGAGACTTAAGCATAGGGTTTTATTAATTAAAGAACATTGGTAATCTTGACAGGAGCAGTTATGGTAGAATGCTGGAGGTAAGAGCCTAAAAGGTGAACTCTCTTCTTCCCACCTTTATCTCTGGAGTGAGTTCAAGAGAAAATGGAAGGAAAATAAGTAGAGACAGCAAATAATAGCACAAACAACACTCGAAAAATTTTATATAGAAACTGGATGAAGGCCAGAAGGAGAGGAAATTTTTAGAGTTTTGTTTTGTTTTGTTTTGTTTTCTTTGGGAGGGAAAATACCTGCATGCTTATATGCTAATGGAAAAAATACATTAGAGACATGGGCGGGGGTATATACAACCCAGATGGACTGGTTACCCTTCTCTATAATATCTTAAGAGAGCCACCCCTTAAGAGGCATGAAGTTTCCTCATAGGGGATTCAAGTTTCTATTAAAGTAAATGTTGGAAGAATGTTCAGGAAGGAAAATAGTATACAGGGGATTTTGTTAATAATGGATTATGAATTCCAGAGGTCACAGTAAAAGATTTCACAGAGCAGGGAAGGATGGGAATTAGGGCAGAAAAGGAAATGTACAGAATTCTATGGGGATTGGAATAAAAGGGATGAGGGATGACCTAGATGTCTGGAGTTGATTGAGGTGACTGACAGATGTAAATTAAACAGCGAGGTATGTCTTTAGTGGACCAAAACAAGTATTGATGACACAGTGAACGTTAAGGGCTAGAGAGTGCTGTGTCTGGGGAACTCTTCTTCCTCCCTTTATGTATGGCAGGCACAACTCATCATTTAACCAAGCTATGGACTGGGCAGTGGCCTTTTCTCCCCTATCTCTTAGACTCCAAGGAGACTGCTCAGTTGCCAGTGCAGCAAGAAAAGACAGACTTTTCTCCAGGTCTTCATTTCACTGCTTAAAAAAAAAAAAAAAAGTCAGCTTTTTGGTGCTATGAGATTTGTCAGGCAGCCCACACTGCCTATGCTGTGATCATTTACCTTTCATGGAGCTGATTATTTGGTAACATTCTCTTGACACATTTCAAAAAAGATTTTCATGTAAAATCCAAATGCATTTAATTCTATCTTGTCGTAGTAAAACTGTACTAAGTCATCAAATCAAGAGCCTCCCCACTCTACCATGCTTAAACAAAAATCCAGGATTGACATAAATCCAGAGGATCTTTGCACATCATAAAAAAGGTTCTCCCTTTTCCCTATTGTCACCCCTGTAAAAAATGTTTTTCCAGAAATATTTCCTAGACAGCAGAGATGAGTGAAAAAGAAAATCAGTCCCGATTAGAGCATGTATACTATATAAAAAGTATTTTACTCTGTGATAATTGTACTGACAATTTTATGCCTCAATAAAATCAAAATATTGTACAAAAGTCACTCCAAGAAGAGTGCAGAGCTTCTGCTTAGATCCCACAAACGGGAGTTTTTAAATTAAAGAGGAGTCTTCTTAATTTGCTGCTTTGAACTGCCAAGTGGCCAAGCATGTTTGCCGGAACTGCAAGAGGCAAACTGCTCAAGAAATTTCCCTAGAAATTTAAGAACTATTTGCTTAAATTATGGCACTTAGTTGCCCTCTTGTTTGAGGCTGAGGGGTTGACAAAATGATTTTTAGCGTACATAATGGCAAGTTATGTTATAGCAATTTATGTTTAAAGGTGAGAGAAAAGAATTCTAATTAACTACAACAACCTTTGACATGTGCAAGTGCTTACTCCTGAAGATTGATTTTCATTTTACTAATGAGACCAGAGGTGACACCATGACCATGTGTATTGTAATAAGGAATTATGCATCAACCTGCTCATTCTGTTAGTACCTGTGATATCCTTGATTGCCTTTTGTAACTATTTCCAAGTCCTCTTAATGCCATGAAATCTCTTTCCTCACCATAGTCCCAGAAATCATAACAGGGGACATGGAGTCAGCTATGGCAGTGGACCTTAACCCTTGGGTGGAATATGAATTTAGAGTGGTGGCCACCAATCCAATTGGGACTGGAGATCCAAGCACCCCATCTCGAATGATCCGCACAAATGAAGCAGGTAAGAATTTTGGAGAGTCAGAATTCAATTTGGCATGCCCCTAATCACTTTGAAAGCAAGTTGAATTAACCATGGTTGTTTGCTTTATTTAGTATAATTTTTGCTGATTCATTTACCTAGACATCATAAAATTATTTCCTTTAAAATAATTCTTTCATTTTGTTTTCAGATCTTTTTCTCCTTATTTCCACTAATGCATCTAGATGCTTCAATTTCCTCCCAACCTTAGTACTCATTTTCAAGTTACCATGAAATTGAAGCAGTTAGTTTTTTTTTCTAATTATATACTCATTCAATATAGCAATTCCATAAAATTCAGAATAGATAGGACCACCCTCTTTTTCTCCATTGATAACAATTAGCTATAATTGCAGTGAACTTCCTTAGAACCCTTTATGTTGCCCTTCACTATCTGACCTGGCATAAATTATACTCTGCAAAGGCAAACATCATCTTAACTTGTCTACTGCTTGACATCTATGTATACAATAAACATCCATCTGCTTCCTGACGGAAAATACAGCATCCTTCTGGCTTTTTGGAATGAAGTATCTCTAAAATGTTTCTAATAGTCACATAAGGGAATTAACAGCTTTATTTAAAAACAAATTTTAAAATATCTTGCCCAGGGACACCTGGGTGGCTCAGTCATTAAGTTTCTGCCTTCAGCTCAGGTCATGATCCCAGCGTCCTGGGATGGAGCCCCACATCAGGTTCTATGCTCACCAGGGAGCCTGCTTCTCCCTCTCCAGCTCCCCCCTGCTCGTGTTCCCTCTCTCGCTGTCTCTCTCTGTCAAATAAATAAATAAAATCTTTAAAAAAAAATATCTTGCCCAGCATCTGGAGAAAGAAAATTAAAGAAAAAATTTTAGTAAAATGTTTGACTACTTTGAACAAAGTTTTATTGAGATTTATCTCTTATGTCCTTATAAAATTGTATAAATTGTATATTAAATAGTGTGCAATAGGGCATTAGCTTAGGCAAACACAAATGTCAATAATGTTGATGAAAACAGAGAAAAGGGGGTAGATTGCAGATACAGGGAGGGAAAAAACAAATTTTAATATTTTTACACTCGATAACATATGAATCTCAGTAATCATTAGAATATAAGTGCACTGAGAATGAGGATATATGTCTAATTTTTTAGTGTTCACCACCTAAAACAGTGTCTGGCACTGGTACTACATATGTTTTTGTTGAAAGATTAAAAGGGAATATTTCTTTTTTCCTTCCTACCCACACCAGTACCTAGGTGAGAGATACATATACATAGAAGACTAAGAATTAACTGTCCATTTTGTATTATAGTTATAGAATTGGGCCAAAAAATGTGATTTGTGATTTCTTACAAATTGAACAAAGCTTATAATAATTAAAATAAACTACAAAAAGAGTTGATTCTTTCTCTAAAACACTCTAGGTCTGATCCTTTAAAAAAAAAAGAGAGAGAGAGAGAAAAAAAGACCAAATGGTTAATTTATTGTACTAAGTGGGAATAACTATACAAAAAATATTCAAATTATTTCTATATAAAAATTAAGCAACCAGGAAAATAAAAGATAAAATAGCCTAAATATGTTGGAAAAGATTCATTCACAGAAAATCTAACTTTTCTGCTTTTGTGATTTGCTTAGTACAAGTTGTTCTTTCTGCTACTTTTCAATAGTGTGAATTTTAAATTGAACATTAATTGCCTGGTTAGATTTTCATACATTCATAAATCAACCATGCTTTCATTGTGTACAGGTGTTCACTAATTAAGAGTATAACAGGTTAGTCATTCCTCATTTTATGTACTTACTATGCAGATATTGAAATGACTGCCAATATTAGTACTTATGCTCACACATTTTCTAAAAAGAACTGCCTTATTTTGCATATTGTTAATTGTGTTTAAACAAAGGCAAAGATTACTGTCTAATTCAGAGGCTCTCTATAAATATTCATTTTGAAAATAAATAATCCATTTAGGATGAATAATCCTTTTAGACTTTGTATAGTACAAATCTCTTTGCACTATTAAAAAAGATTATAGCAAAAACACTTCTACTTTTCATGCTAAATTGCATTCAAATGATACATTCTGAAAGACTTGTCCCTCATCTCTTCCAACAGCTACCTCGATCATATAGTTCCTGCCTCTTTATTTTATCATGAGTTCTATACACATGGCATACTTTAGTCCATTAAAATCTCATGGAAGAGAAAAGAAATAACATGAAAAATTGAAAGTTGAGGAAGGCTTTTACTGTTTACTTTATGCTTCTTGTACTTTGGTACCACAAAGGGCTAAAGCTACTAATGGTGCTGAACCAAGTGTTGAGTTTTGTGCCTGTTTTATCAGGCAGCACAGATTAAAAGGGACACAAATATCCTGAGATGTGCTCTCAAGTGACACATTCTTCATCTTTTAAGTACATGTCCTGTATTTTAATAGATGATGCAGTTCTAATGGACCAAGTAATCTCTGAAAATCAACAGAGCTACTTGTAAGAGAAAAGATGTCACATTCAGATATTGAGTTGATGGGGCACCTGGGTGACTCAGTTGTTAAGTGTCTGCCTTCGGCTCAGGTCATAATCACACAGGGTCCTAAGATCAAGCCCCGCATCGGGTTCCCTGCTCAGCAGGGAGTCTGCTTCTCCTTCTCCCACTCCCCTTGCTTGTGTTCCCTCTCTCCCTGTGTCTCTCTCTGTCAAATAAATAAATAAAATCTTTAAAAAAAAAAGATATTGAGTTGAAAGTTTTATGTTCCTTTAAGATTCCCCTATTTACTAGAATATTCTAAATCCAAAGGCAGGTTTAGTAAAGCATTTTTACTTTGGAATTATTTCTTTCCCACACACCAAAAAAAAGTTCATTTTTATTTGCAATTTCCCCTCGGGTATATTTTGAATTTTACTCAAGGGTATGTTTTGAATTTTGCAACCATCAGAATACCCCTAGCAGTCAATAAGTATAAGATAAATTGGTTCAGTCTGATTTCTTATTATTAGAATATCAAAATAATATACATATATGTTTTTTACTTTGATGTAAATTTGTATTTATTTATTTATAGTACAATTTTCTTACAAGTTTTAGTTAAATGATATAGATGGATAGATAAATGATTGATAGATATAGATAGATACATAGATAGAGAGATAGATAGATAGAACCCTGTGTTTAATTTTGGAAATGTGTTACTATCATCAAACCAGTATATGATTTTGGGTTAGGTAATGGAAATGCTTTCTCCATCATTTAAAAAGAGAACACTCAAGAGAAAAAAAAAATCACATCTTAGGAAATGAAATTGAAATACATACTATAATAGAAATGGAAAAATGTGTAAAAATGAATACAACAGTAATTCTCCCATTTAATTGAACTTTAATATTCCATAAGTTATGTATTTATTTTTTTAAAGATTTTATTTATTTATTTGAGAGAGAGAAAGCATGCATGTGCATGAGCAGGGTGAAGGGCAGAGGGAGAGAGAGAGAGAGAGAGAGAGAGAGAGAATCTCAAGCAGACTCCACAGAGAGTGTGGAGCCTGACAGGGAACTCAGTCTCACAACCCTGAGATCATGACCTAAGCCAAAATCAAGAGTCAGATGCTTAATGCACTAAGCCACCCAGACACCCTACAAGTTATATATTTATAATCTAATTGTTGAAAGATAAATGAAAAGGAGACAAGATAGAGTTAAATGATGTAACCTATTATCTAAAAAGGTTTGGTCTTCTCTGTAATATAAAATGTCTATTATTATCAAAGCTTTTGTTATAAATCTCAATATTTGCAGTTCTTTATTTCAAATTATGATGAAATAGAGAGATTGAGAGTGAAAGAAAAAGAGAAAAGAAGGTTCTATCTTCTAGCTGTAATTAGGAATTTGAGTTTTGGAGTTAGGCAGATCTGGATTAATGTTCTCTGCTGTTTACTAGCAGTGAACATAGGTAAGAAATATACCTTGTTCAAGGCTCAATTTTCTCACCTATAAAATGGAAACAGAATCACAACCTACTCCATTGGCTCATTTTATTAAGTAAGATAATGCACGCTAAGAGCTTAGCATAGTGCCTGGCACATCGTAAATGCTTACTATTAGCCATTTGTCATCATCATCATCATCATTATCATCATGAAATTGAGTTATTTTTTTGTTCAATGAAAATTTAAACAATAATAATCATGCATGTCACTTTTTTCATATTGCGGAAATATTTTCAGGTTAAACATCTTTTTGTTGATATAGTAAGAGTCACCCAGTCTCTTGGCTTGCATCAGGCTCCTACAAGATGCCCTCCTATTGAGAAGTCTCTGCTGCAGACTGTATACCAGCAAGTCTGGGCACTCAGCCCACCTGATGGCTTGGGAGTCAAGAAAGCCTTTCAGAATGTGGTGCACAGTACAGAGCATGCCTCTCCTCTAAATTTCTGTCTCCATCTCTGTTTAGCTTTACCATGCTGTATTTGTTATCTAGCCAGGTATCAGTCTGTAAGTGGATTGTGATATTGTCCCAACATGTGGTCATTTTCTTTGCTTATAGGATAGACAAAACAAAAGGAGCCGAAAAAAATAAGTGTCAAATGAAAGAACTTGCTTAAAAAATATGTTCCACATTCATATAGCTTTCCAGTTGCTTAACACATTGTATTCTGACCTGCCATTCTTTTTTCACTCTGAAATGGAAAATGACACACACATATTTCAGGCCACACAAGGCAAAATATTTTTTCTATGTTTAATAGATTAATGCTTGACCAGATAAATAGGAATATCAAGTAGACAATCAGATAAATATCTTTCTTAGCCTTAGCACTTTCTGCACTATCATAGTTATGTAATTGGTTTACTATACAGACTGAACTCCATAGAATTTAAACAGAATAGTTTTATTCTTCTCCCATCATTGCTCTCCATTACGCTTCATCTGATCTCTGACTTCAGCCCCAACGATATATATCCAAGGCACTTTTAGGTATTAGGACAGTCTCATTTTCAAGT